AGTGAATACATTTTGGAATACTTATTGGAATTATTGGTGGAAAAGTTTCCTCACAAAATGTAATATTCATTACCGGCAGAACTGTGTGCACACTGCACAGCGCTGCAGCATGTCTGTTAGCGAGAGAGAGATGCAGCATGTCTGTGAGGCCCCGCCCCCGCACGCAAATGAGAGAGAGATCTCTTTTAAAATATATTGAAAGTAGAAACGGAAATGTTTGATAAAATGTGCAAGATAACGTTTATGTAGCATTTATTTATTGTCGAAATTATGACATTTCATAACGGGATCAAATCAAAAGTGAATGGCCTGCTGCTGCTGAATGCATGGGGCGAGTGACTAGAAACAGTTTTAAAAGTTATTACATCGTCTCAGATAATAAATAATAATGATAATTCATTCTATTTAGGGGCGCCTTTCAAAGCACCTAAGGACACCTTACAATTCATAACATATTCCAAGGAAAGGTTTTAAGACAGTACAAAGAATGCAGTCCGGGAGATGTTTTTTATGTGGGGTGCAGATGAGAGGGAGCTGTCCAGAATGACACCAAGATGTTGTGTTTGAGTTCTTGATAAGCCATTAAAACAGTAAAATAAGTGTCTCCTGTTTACCAAAACGTACCCATCTGTTGTGGAAAAATAAAGCATTCCAAAATTATTAAAAGTAATCTGAAAAGGTTCTGATTAACTAATTTCTAGTTCCGGATTGTTTTGGTGTGAACGCACATTTTCGGAACTATATCGGAACTAAAGTGGGAAAAGTACCCTAAACAGCGACCGTCTGTTAAACGTTATCGATTCAAACAGGAACGTTTTATTAATATTTTATTTCGAGCTATTGTCTTTAGTAAAAACAAAACTAGTCGAAGTGGAGATGCTCCCAGGGGAAGCTGATCCACCTTCAGGTGCTGGGACAGCTCGGTCTCTCTGCAGCTGTATGAGCCGCGGTCTGTGTGAACGTTGCTCCACAGTTGAATGCAGGGCCGTAGCTGCGTTTTTAACGGGCCTAAGATGATATTTAAAATGATTCACTTTTAATGAATGTACTGCTCGTTTCGTTGCTTGATAAGCTTGTGGACATAGTGTAGTTTTGTTTCTACAAGTACAGTTTTAGGGACAAAAAAGTTAGGGGGGCAGCTGGGGGGGCAAGGCTCTACAGCGAGGGGCATCTGCCGCCCTTTGCCCCCCTGTAGATCCGCCCCTGCATTAACAGTACTGTCAATATAAAAATGAATCTTCAGCAGAGCAATCCTCACCTGTAGTGGGCACAGAGCTGGTAGGAGGTGGCGTGGTAGAGCAGCAGCGTGTTCGCGTGGTCGTCCAGTGTCCACACCGCCTCCTCTCCCCATAGGCTGAAGCTTGTTGTCATGGATACAATGGAGGACGGCGGGCTGTAGGGATCGAGCCTTCGAACAGCCTGAAGACTCAGACAGTCAATGACCAGCACGCCTGGACCATTGGAGAGCCATAACTGAGGAACAATGGATAGGGACAGTGTTGGAGACGGAGAGATCCTCAGGAGAGAGTGTTTATTTTGAAGCTACCTTTTAGTGACTCCTCAGAAGTTCCCTGCACCCACCTGGGATCCCCTACTGACCAGCACCATGCTGCTGACTGGGTAGGGCCTCTGCCTGGGGTCCGAGTCCTTCAGGGAGAACAGCGTCCTGTTGAGGGTGTGTGAGCACAGGTAGGTCTCCCCCTCCAGAGGGAGGTCCTCCAGCAGGCTGTACACTGCCACCAGGCCGTCAGACATCCCCGCAAACACTCTGGCCAGACTCTGAACAGACCAGGACGTTCACATTTTAATAATCATCACGTTTTACAGGCTGTGCACCTCTTTGGACTATTCATGACGCGCTGTAGAACCAAACTGGCAGTGTTAGCCTGAAGATAATTTGACGTTATCTGGTAATATGAACATTTATAAGCGGCTTATTTCTATAACATGAAAGATGTGCACGTCACACGGCCATATAATTATTTGTGTGCGTGCGTGCGTGCATGCATGCATGCGTGCGTGTGACCTGTTCTTGGGCTGGAACAGGGAGCAGGCAGGTGATGATGGCTGGACAGGAAAAGTGTTTCTGGGGCTGGCTGAGCGGACACATATCCTTCAGACTGTAGATGAAAATCTCCTGCTCCTGTTACACAATAATAAACATACTTTCAAGACTTTAAGATGTTCAAATGAATATCTATCTTTGTGTTCAGAATACAGCTGGTTGGACTAGCTTAGCATAAAGTCTTAAGCTGGGCGATACAGCTGGCTGTAAGCAAGTTTAGAAATCTACTACCCACACTTATGGTTCACAAATATTCGCTGCACTGACACATTCATGACCCGCATGGTTGAAAGCATTTTAATATATGTTGTAAATGATTGAGAGAACACGATGACTCTTCGATCGCAAACACTAAAAAGCATTCTGGCCTCTTTCATTAAAAACCTTTCACAAGAAAACAAACTCTCAAAAGATGATTGACTTAAGCACCAGGCGGAGCACTCTGGTTCCAGAGTGTCTCAGTGTTACAGATCCCGAGAAGCCATGCTATTGTGGTTCATCCAAACATTGAGAGAGAGTCCCCCCCCCCCCCCCCCAGGAGCATGGCGAGGTCACTAGTACTGTGAAATAGAAATAGAAATAAAGCAGCGGTGTGTACCTCAGTGGCCATCCATAGAATGTTACCCATCTTCATCTGACAGCTGACCCTGCTGCCTGCACAGCTCATCCTCTTCACTTCCATCTGCCCCTTCTCCACATTCACCACACTGTAGCTCCTGCACAACACACACAGCAATACACAGAGTTGGTGTGGAAATGCCCCTGCCAACCTGAGCAGTGATCAGATGCACCGCTGGTTATCCAGGTGCTGTCCACAACAAAAGAAAATAACGATCTTGTGAGTGTGAGTTAGTTTCGTGTGTGCAGGGTTTAAAGAAAAAACGGTGTAAAAACTGAAGCGCAGCTATAACGTGCGTGGACAATAAATCAAATTGTATTTATATAGCCCAATACCAAAATTACACTTACAAGGGGGGCTTAGTGTTTGAAGCATACCCACAAGCTATTAACACTCTCCAGCAACATTCGGCTGCAGAGTTTGTAAAATACTTTGTTCATTTTGGTTACTTCACGGTACTTTTTTTGGTAAATGTATTGTACACATGAAATGTATTCAACCAGACTGTGTGAAAACAGTTTTGGCCTAAAAAGAAAATCAAAACGTGAAGAAAACAAGTCAAAGAGAATAGAAAAAAATCAAGCAGGCAGAAGCTGGATTTCCAATATATATGAATATAGCCTACTGTAGGCTACAGCTTTCAATGTGTTTATGAAATATATAAGCCCATGTTGTCTGTGCTGCATTTAATATCACATTAAGAATATGGATAAATCCGGGTTAGCAACTTATAACTAAATTATCTAATTTTGTTTTGGGTGTTTGTGTTTAGGCATTCTGTGAATAAAGGGGCTTCATAAATTAAGATTATTCATTTGAAGGGATGTAACGATATACTGAATATCGCGGTAAATAAACGTCCCAATACCGTCGTGAGACTGACAAAACCTACTGCGATTTAAAAATCCTACCGCGATTTTTTTTTTAAACCTTTATTTAACCAGGTGGTCCCATTGAGATCATCGATCTCTTTTTCAAGAGAGACCTGTCCAACATGGCAGCAAGTAGGTTACAACATGAACATAAAACAACAGATAACACAAAAGGACATCGTATTTACAGGGCTACATTTACACACCTAGAGACATTGACAAGTACCAACAGTATGTTTATATCTCGCCCTGTCAATAAGCCTCACCTTCTTGGCAAAAACTGTATTGTTTTTGAAGTGGTGGAGAGACCATGCACAGTTTGACCCACTGCTGTCACCCATGGCCAAAGCACATCTGTCCGTCCCACTGAGGTGGCGTTAGACTTTTTCGCTGTCCGTCATTTTTGACAGACAGGATCGTAAAATATCCGTCATAATCCCTTATTACCCGTCGGGTCTGAACAGTTCACGAGAGAGCACGCTCGTGAACTGTCAACGGGGGGGGGGCGGTGTTATGCCGTGTGTGCATGCACCTCGCGGGAGCGCGCACAGCGTAAAGCAAAACCTCCCAGACATGTATTGATCTGTACGGCAAAGTACGGTTTGGAAACTATATCATTTCCTTTTGGAGGGCATGCATAACACGGCATAACATCAGAGCCTGGCGCTGTTCCGAGTTTGTTCTAATCTGTCAAAATGACAGACTGCTTTCAGATTTTTCCGCCATTGTTAAATAAAATATTCGGTTAACGCGACCACTGGTGTCCCAGCAACATCAGTACCAAGCGAG